TGTACCCTATTATTTAATCCGGACTTCTAACTTTACGTCTGCAAAAATTCAACGCAATCGGTTGAGTAGTTACGGCGTGAAGGTGGAACAAACAAACAAACAAACTCACTTTCAGATTTATAATATTAGTAAGGATAAGGACTAAGGATTTGTTGACGTTTCAAAAGTACCAAAATATGGTTTAATTGAAATAAATGCTTTGACTTTTGACATCGATTCTGATTTGTTAATAAGGAAGATACTTAGGTATGCAATTTAAATAGTAATTCACATCTTTTTCCACCCATTATAAAAGAAACAACGAGAATAAATATTAATAATATTTATTGGGGCTTAAAATCAATCACAGAACACAAACGCTCCTTTGCACCATAATCATAAAAAATACAAACATAATTACGTCACAATAATGACTTTTTAAACATAATGACAAATAATAAACATCTAAAATTCCTCATTGCTTTTAAGTTACAGAATTTGGCAAAGAATCTGGTGCCATCTCACATGGAACTGATTAGTGAAAAAGTAGGTAAAAATATACATAAACGCAAACCTTTAGTCCCACAGAGGTAGGCTGAAACTACTTATAACAAAATAGTATCATGTACTTCAATTAAAGGGCCAAACTAAAAGTACCCTTAACCGACGAGCATGCATGAAAAGATTGATGACTGTTGATAAAGCGAAAAAGGTATGTAGGAATCGTAGCAATTGGCGTTCTATAGTCCCCTACCCCCATGGAAGACAGGCGTGAAGTTGTGTATGTATGTATGTATCTAGTACGCTCTTTACATACTTTTTAGCTTCCAAGTTGCATCACATTCGTGTTTGATCATACAAGTACCTATACCAATTTAGCGTAAAATGGTCCAATCGTATATGTGCCTTATTTTAAGCAGGAGACGACTCTAATTCAAAAAATTATAGGTCTACCTTGAGACGATTATTTTGCCAAATTCTGTACACCTAAAAAGCCAAGAGAATTACGTCCGAACATTCAAACCCAATATATTTTTGTCTCTGTCATTTCAAAGAGTGTGAAGAGGACAGAAATACTCTAAAAATGTACATCTTAATCATAAAACACCTTCATTTTTGGGCTTCAATATTCAGAGTGAAGATACTAGAAATAAGTGGAGAAAATGTAAATAAACATAATACACATTCATTTTACTCGGTACAATCACACAAGCATTTACTGAACTAACAAGTCGAAATAAAGAACTTTAATAATATGTATCATAAAGTCCAATTTTCAATGACATTAAAACCAGCACACATTTTGAATACAAATTCAACTCCATTCCTGAGCAAATAAAGTACATTTTGCTTTATCTCGTCTTGTTGGTCTAAAGAAATACTACAATACAGAAATTACGTATACCCTGATCATAGCTATCCTACATACATTGTATTGACAGGCATTTCAAAAGTGCTATTCTATCATAATCAGGCCAGCTGTTTTTGATCTTGAGCTCATAATACATACCTACAGAGTAAATTAATATTACGGTGTCATTTTACGGTAACTCTAATTGAAGTTTGCTTTCGAAATTAATATATATTTTTTAATATTCTCAATGTAGTGTATTTTGTTATAATTACTGTAAGCTGTGCAAACCCCATTTAAAAAAGTGTAAAGATAAAAATAGCTGTTGATAAATGCATTTTAAATTATAATGTATGTAAATAAAAGCAATTATTCTCTAATATAATTCATATAACATCATTTTTCATATAATATCAATAAACATATGAGCAAGAAAATAGTTTTTCTGAAATCTAAAATTTAATTCAACATACAAATTCAGGATTGAACAAAATACAAACTTAAATGATATTTGCGACACTAGAGGCGCTAGTGGAAAATAAAAGATTTTTGAACGAATTTTTTTTTTTTTGCTTGACAATCAAGGCTCTAATTCAATGTTGTCGACTACACTGCCACCGTCGAGTGGTGACGGAAGACTTATAAACAGTCGAACTTTAACTTTGCGGTAGTTTGTAGCTGACCATAGTATAGGATCAATGTCAGTGGTACCCAATTAGTGGTAAGACAGAAAAACATAAGAAAACTGGTTCTGCTCATATTTTTTTTTTCACTACCCACCTGAATATTAAATTATGATTTTAAATATTTGTACGCCAAAACGGCATAACATGTAGCTCATACTCCTAACTTAACACCATTGCATGTACTCTTGTAATATTACTCATGTTAACGCAAAAAAAATATCTTTATCTTTATCAGTTTCCAACGTTAAGATCAAATTAAACTCAAATCAAGAGAAAACTTAGGATTTTTTTTCCTATAAACCAAAAGTCACTATTTCAACCGACTTCAAAAAAAGGTCTCACTTTTACCTGTATGTGTTTGTACGCGATTAGCTGAACGGATTTTAATGCGGTTTTCAGAAGAGCATTTGTTCTACTTAGGAGAAAGTTTTAGTATATCAATAAACCCACCTTTAAGAAAGAGGAGATTGAAATCGACACAGTTTATATAAGAACTATTATGGGAAAGAACGATTCGATTCTGGAGATCTTATTGAATATTGAAAAGTTACTCAATTTTAAGTCGTGCTTAAATATCGTGCCATCTCTGTCATTTTACAAGAATTTGTAGAGACAGAACTATACTTAAGCACGACTTAAAATTGAGTAGCGTTTGAGTATTCCGACATAAGTCTCATAAAAGAGACAGTCATCGTGATTCCTACCTAAGAAGATTGATATAGAAGTGTTCCTTTACTAAGAAAACGTTGGGAAACACTGTTATATGCAGACCATGCAGCATAGAAATATTTTGACCAATGGAAATATTTTGCTAACGTCAAGCCCGTCGGCAGCGAAACTGACTGACCTAATAGAATCTTATTGCACACCAACGCCATCTAATGAGCGCAAAATTGAAAAGGAAAAAAAATACATATCAGCTGTTTTAAAACCATACAATTTTGTTTAAAATAAAAGAAAAATAATTTTAAAATCATATAATAAAATTTTGTAATTATAGTGATGTTTTACTATATCATAATATAATTATAGTTCCACTTGTTTCTAGCACCGGGCTTTTGCTGTCCAAACCACATAGCGGTGAGCAAAAATATCTAAGAACCTTTATCATATGAAATTAATTATTGTTTTAGGCTTATTCAAGTAACAGCTTGACGATAAACTTGATTAGTTTCAAGCCATGCTAGAGGATTATATTAGAGCCAGTACATTAGCAGTGCGACACCGCGTCGCGAGTCGCAGAATGCTACTCATGAATATGAGCCTCTAGCATAGCTTGAAACTAGTCGAATAGGGTTTTTTTTTAAGGGAAAAAAATCATCGAATGACTGCTCCCGCCTGGGTGAGGCGGAAGGGAGTGTCAGACTCTTACTGACTAAAAACCACCCCGTTCCTTCGCGTGCACGTCGAACCAGAGCCCCGGTTACCCGTTAGGTTCTCTGAATAAACAGATGCCTAAGTTTTATTTTAATGTCCGTCTGGTATATTATATTAAATCATTACACACGTATTTTTAATTTTCTTACAGTAACGAATACTTTCGACGATATATTGATTTGAAATGTCGCGTGACGTCACTTCTATGTACATTTTATACGTAGAAATGACGTTTTAGCCCCCACTCCTAAACGTTGATTCGTTTTATCCAAGTATTGTTTTCCTATACGACAGAATAAAAAAATACGTGTCTAATACTTTTTCGTTATCTAACTTACGGACTAATTATATTTTTAATTTTCATACCCTGTCATCATCCCAATTCCAAGTCAAACAGTTACGTGAGTACGGCAAAAACATAATAATTAATTTAGTATATCTCATTAAAGTTACAAAGGCCCATAGTTCAACAGTCTGTCGAAGTTATATTCTGTATATTTACATATTTTCGCTCACCGCTATTATCATTACGAAATTACATATTTTATCAACTCATTCCATCTTCGCAATATTTTGTTCTTCAAACGAAATCCAAACTATTCACTCGACTCGACGACTTGATCTGTAAATTTGAAAGAATCATAATATGACAAACAGCAAACTATGTAACTAGAGAATTGTATTGTGAACCTGATTGAAAAAGAGTAACCTATGGAGTTTCTTTCTCGTTCTTCTCCATAGGAATCTACACCTTGGAATAAGCAAATAGCTTCACTTTTAATTTTATTGTTGACGTTCAACAGTGCCTTTCTGGTCTAATTGAAATAAATGATTTTGACTTTGACTTTGACTTTTGACAAACGTACAAACAGACACGACACGCTTAGTCAATATGTTTAACACATTGGATGCCGTGTTGGACAATGATGACCGACGCTAGCGGATGATTAGTCTTTAACAGTTTTTATCGACAGTTAAAGGCTTAACCGACTTCAAATAAAAAAGTAGGTACTCAGCTTAACCCGTATGTAGGTATGTGTTTGTGCGCGATTACCCAATCGCCAAATTTGATGCGGTTTTACAGAAAAGTGTTTGTTACATTTAGGAGAAGGTTTTAGTAGGTATATCAATTAATGGAATTCAAAAAAGAGGGGGTTGAAATCGGTTTTTAAACATATGCAAGTTTATAAAATAACTATTTGGTGTTGTTAATGATTATTGACTAGAATTTAAAGACATTAACTTCGTTTGTAGCAGAAATAGAATGTATTAGTAGAGTAGTAAATGCAATTAATTGTCGTTTTCGAGTTATAAAGAACAAAACAATTATTTAACGATTTAACCTACTGGATCCACTCTTAAGATATGCCCAACATTACATTACGAAACTGATATTCCGAGTAAAATTGGTAAATTAAGTATATTTGCAGTTTACTCATTCATTAGGGCCCCGGTATGGCCCGAAACTAGACGAGTATCTCCGAAAAATGTAGAGCGAGTCATATAAAAATCATTTGTTATTCGATAAAATATGTAATTTTGTAAACACCTTACCTACATTACAATCAGTGTAGAACTATGAACCTAATATTGACAAGTAGCTAAGTTCAGAGTTCATATTTGTTCTTTAAATCAGCTATCACTTCGTCGGTACAGTTTTCAGACTGCTTACAATCCTCGAGAAGAGTTGTTAACACTGGAAATGAGAAAGAATAATGTTAAAGATACATACATAACATAACATCACGCCTTTTTATCCCCGAAGGGGTAGACAGAAGTGCACATTATGCCACTGTACAATGAAACACCCACTTTTCACTATTTATGCTATGAGTCCCATGTAACAGGGGGTGAGCCTTTTGCCATTGTTAAAGATAAGATTTTTAAAATGAATAAGTTGAATAAAATAATAAATTATTTTATTTATCTCTATATAACTCCACTGAATCACTCCTTCTATTAAAAAAAACCCCACAGCAGCGCCATCTATTGATTACTTACTCAACCCAGTCGAAAGGTATCGACATCTGTTAGAATCATTTGGAGTTAACAGATAATTGGGACTCTCAAATAATAACAGACAAATAATTAGCAATCAATTAAAATTGCGACTATAATTTAAGATTTAAACTATCCTATCTCTCAAGTTGGATCGAACTACACATGGTGTGCGAATTTTATTATAATCGGTCAAGTGGTTTAGGAGTCCATTAAGGACAAACATTGTGACACGAGATTTATATATATTAAGATAAAAAAATCTAACATAATATCAAATACTTACTCTGTTTGTCCGTATGTGAGAGGAACATGGCGAGGGCTGAGAACCGTGGTACGTTGGCGATACCGGCGAGGTATGCAGCAGTGCGGCCGCGGAACTTGTCTCGACGGGAGTGTAGCACTTGTATGACGTCCGATACCACGGAGCTCTCCAGCGCGTTCGCGAATATGGACGGGATCTTTGATGGTTCTATTAGCTGTTGGATGAAGGAAATAGTTTTAATTTAATCTAGTAAGAGATTTGTAGGTCAGAGCAATCTTATTCTATCAAAATAATGATTTAGCTATAATACATAATATTGGGGCGCTGTATTGTATTCTCTTTGCATAAAAGCAACAAATCATGAGCTAATGAAATACGTAACATAACATCATAATAATAATATTACGCCTTTGCAACTGAAGTTAACATCGCAAAAGTGAAGGAAATAGTGACTGAAAATTCCCATTCAACTCGAGAGAGATAGCCGCCGAACTTTCTGTATCTCTCGAGTCGATCCGTACCATTTTAACTAATCATTTGGGTATGAAACATGTTGCTGCTCGGCTAGTCCCAAAAGATCTGAATTTTCTCCAAAACTCAATCGCATGAAAGTCGCTGAGGACATGCTAGAACGAGTCAGTTCGGACCCAACATTCATGAAATGCATTGTTACTGGTGACGAGATGTGGGTTTGCGAGTTTGACATGCAAACTAGTCAAATGACCACTTCGTGGCACCCGTTTTCAATCGATAGAAGACATAAAGGAGAATTCGCGGCGAGAACTGAACTCAATTCCGGAAGCAGCGTTTAAAAAATGTTTTGATGAATGGTTGATTATTCGTTGGCGCAAGTGTATCGTTTCTAAAGGAGCATACTTTGAAGGTGATAAAATAAATTTGGATGAATAACAGATAGTTTGAGTATTATTGATCTTTTCCGATTTATAAATGCTGAAAAGTGATAACACATAGCCTTTTTTATCCCATGGGCCGAAGCTTGTAAACAAAGAACAAAACTTACATTCCAATATTCAGCCATGGCATCCCACTGCCCCTTCATATACTTCCACTCCGACATGAACTGAACACTATTGACAGGTGGTACGAAATTCTTGACTTTCTCTGTAACCATTGCATCGGAGACCAGCTTCACTGACTCCGGACTAGCAACCTTCTTGTCCCCTTCACCATAGACATCTGTCTTCCCATGAGAGTCCTTCTTATTGGAGTCATTATTATTCGAATCTCCCTGGGACAGGTTGTCTTCAACGTCCACAATTTTCAACCGCGTCGGTGGTTTCTCTGGCGTTGTCTCTCCTAGTAATACTTCTTGGATTGGTATGGACTTTAGCGGTCTCTGGAAATGGTAGATAGAATATGTTAGTTTAGACATTGTTAGTTAAATACAGTATTGCTTGGTTATTTTGTCAAATGTCCATTGGAGCTCTCGAAGTGAGTTCGATCGTATTCTGGCCCGTTATTGCCCGAGGTTATTTTCACAACCAATGACATGGCGAACCTCAATCGAGGTCACTTGTATAGTTCGAATTGACATCTTACAGTATAGCCTCACTTAACCTTTTCGGGCCTTTCAGGAATCTCCTAACAAAGTAGAAGAGTTTTATGTTATCATTTTATAACATCACGCCTTTTATCATTAGGCAGAGGTGTACATTATACCACTGTACAATGTAACACCCACTTCTCACTATTTGTGTTATGAGTCCCATGTAATAGGGGGTGAGCCTATTGCCATTATACTGGGCACAGTTCCAGACTCTGTGCTACTGGGAATTTTTAAAAATCTCAGTAATACTTTGCCCGACCCGGGAATCGAACCCGAGACCCTTTGCCCGACCCGGGAATCGAACCCGAGACCCTTTGCCCGGCAGTCGCACGTGCTGTGGTAATTATTTTGTAAACTCCAAGAATACCCAAACACCATACAATTCCACATTTCTAATGTTAATTACAATAATTACTACCCAGGAATTGAACCCACACTATGTAAGCATAAACATATAAGGTTACCTTAGATCTCAAATGTGGAGGCTTCTTTACAGGTCTGATGACCATGATGTTCTCTCCGACTCCACTTCTCCAGTCATCTGCAATGAGCTGGCCAGCCACGGGCGGCTCTGATGGTAGTTCTACTATCTTTGGTTGTATTTTAGGTTTAACTATTGGTTTGTTCTCAGACGTAGGCGTCGATACTGGTGACGATTTTGATTTAGCCTGTGAATGTAACATAGTAAATGAACATACAAAAATGGCAGCAATAATGTGAAAAGTTACAATGATCTGAATGTTTGATGATGCAAAAAAGTATGATTAACCCGTTGAAATTCATCCCCTAAATTTGTTCATACAAAAGTAGTCTCTAAACATTGGAAATAAGGTCTATAATGTAGTTAGTGGAGAGTGGTCACCAGTGACCACCTGGGGATGTATGGGTTTAAAAGTTATTACTAGTGTTTTTCTTTCAATAGTTTCATGAATGTGCATATGCCGTTGTGGTCCAGAGGACTTCTCATGCATAAGAGGGTTCAAAATCTACCAATGGGAAGTATCAATACGACTTCTTCCGTGTTATAATTATATACTTTCTAAAATTATTTAGACACCACTGAGAATTATTGAAGGAAAATATTGTGAGGAAACCTGGGCTTATAATTTCTAATTTTTAATAGAATAGAATAGAATATAACTTTATTGTACACCATTAATAATACAGTACATACAGAAAAGGAAATGACAAATATAAATAAAAATAATAATGGGCACAAAGGTGGTCTTATCACTTATAGTGATTTCTACCAGACAACCTTTTAAGTCTGAAATTGCCAACCCGTATTGAGCAAGCATGGCAATTAATGCTCAAACCTTATCCGTGTAAGAAGAGGTATTTGCCCAGGAGTGGCCTCTTATAAGCGGTTGATGTGAAAATGTGATGTGTTAATTATTTGGTTCTTTGTTGACTCTCTGTATCGTTATGTAAACTTCCATGTGTAACAAAAGTACAAGTAAATAAATACTTGTGTTGCTCCCAAGCAAATCTTAATAACATAAATTGACAATGGATTCAAACACTAAGCAATTAATCTGGGGGCACGGTAGTCCCCCGCCGAGCAAACACTAACACGAGTTGACGTTTCAAAAGCACCAACCCACCACCACTTTGACTTTGACTTTGACGAGTCGAGCGCGAAGCAAACACTGCCGTACCATCCTTTACTGGAACCATTTCGCCGCATTTCCAGGCTCATTATTTAATTGAATGAAGAGTTATTATTAAAACAATGACTCACCCCTTTAGTCCCCATTCTAGTTTTGATAGCTTCTAATTGTTTCCTAGCTGCAGCATTATGTGGTTCTAACTTGAGCACTTCCGTGAGATCATGTGACGCAGACCGGAGTGAGCCGAGCCGCTCCCGGGCAGTAGCTCTTCTTTGTAAAGCTTTGACATAGGTAGGGTCGAGACGCAAAGCCTCTGTACAGTCTGATTCAGCTTGGTGAAGACTGTAAACAGTTGGAATTAGGTAAGCAGGGTTTTATGGTGTGTAAATAGTTAGGCATTAAAACAGAAACATGGATTACTGTAAGTTAACTTGATTAATATTCTTTTTATAAACTACAACTGTTCAACAAAATAGAACCAGTTTTTCAATTGCAATGGTAAAATAAATATAAAGTTGCGAATGCAAAATTAATAGTATTCACAACAACAAAATATCATTACTTTATCAATCAGCGGTAGCTAAAGAGATAATCAAATCAATGTGTTTTAGAAATATTTAAGTGAGTACTTCAGAATCATATTTTAATAACATACTCATTAGTTAAACTTATTAAAAACTAACTAAAAATTTTCTTTTCTCACCTTAAACTTTTCTGTACTTCCACAAACAGTTCAAGACCAAAATTAGCCAAATTGGTTCAGTCATTCTTGAGATTAATTTTATGTAATGTATGGAAATTCACTTTTATGTATGCGATGACTAGCTTACTAATTGCTTGAACTAGCTACAAGCTGCCCATTCAAAGATTTTTAAAAAAGATTGCCTAATGAGCAATATAACCATTATAACTTCTTCATGTGAGATTTTGTAACAATAAATTGTTACATTTCTTAAAAAGAAAAGTAAAATAATTAACTATTGTATAAAAAAACTTACCTGTCTTTCTTCAAATAACACAGTCCTCGGTTAGCAAAGTAAATGGCGTCATCTTTCACCAGTTCTATAGCTCTGTTGTAGCAGGATATCGCCTCGTCCCATTTTTCTTGCTTCACAAATGTGTTGCCCTGGAAACCAATATCAATGGTTGTTATGGTAACTAATTTTTGTTTCTAGTTTTAGTCTTTTTAAAACGGGTTTTTTGGTTTTAAGGGGGACAATCGTCGAATGACTCCTCCCACCTAGCTGAGGAGTGTCAGACTCTTACTGACTAAAAACCACCACATTCCCAACCCTGCACTTTTAACCAGAGCCCCAGCAAAGGCTGAATTCTTAACATCCACACATACTGTTATTTTGTACAATTGTATTACCTAATTTATTAGTTTGAGAATATACAACACAGGGAAATTTTATATTATTATTCCTATGACGGAATTAAACTATAAACAGGCAGAAAGGTTAATAAGCAGAGATTATAACCAAAATAACCAATGATTCTTAAGACTTTGACTACCAATAAAAAATTGTTGAAGGTAAATCCTCCGCTAACGCCGGTCACTGGTGACCCCCATGGCGTTTAATGTGTTAAAAGTTATTATTCACAAATTACATTACCAGGATGATGCCCATTATAATAGCCAAAGTAAGAGATTAATGATTACAAAAAGTTAATTGTAATGTATTTTACCCTCTCCTTCTCATACTGAGCTTCCTCCTTGAGTTTCTCCAGCTTGGCTTGCTGACTCTTCTTGCCATCTAAAGAAGTCGGGCCGACGTCTTCCATGTCTATGTCCTCACAGGCTTTATCCTATTATAGGGAAGGTAGTAAATATTATTATGCTTTATCTTCTTCTCCAAACAAATCTACATTTTGGAACAAGCACCTAGCTTCACTGACATGAAATTGAATATAGATGTTGCAAAAGTGTATTCATAATTAAATAAAGTTTTCAGTTTGATTTTATATCTAAATTTGCTATGATGACAATTGCTTTGAATGTCAGTATATGAGACAATAGAAAACACATTGTCTCGCATAGATTGCTGCATTACAGGTTAAAGTTACTTAGTATTTATTGTATAACCTCTTATTTGTTTAGTGAGTTTTACCAGGAATGAGATCACAGTATTTTCTCTACACACAAGTATTTTTTTAATAATTTTATCGACACAAAAGTTGTTGGCTAACCTTATTAAAATTTATTTAGGTATATTAAATGTAAATAAATAAACAGCCACAGACTTACCAACTTGATCACTCAGACACTCAAAATTTAAATACAATAGATTCTGTTTTCAAGAGACCATAATGCATAAGCCTATTGTTCTTCTTTTTCAAAGAGATCATAGAGTGTAAGCCTATTGTTCTTCTTTTTCAAAGAGACCATAGAGCATAAGCTTATTGCTCTTCTTGCTTTATAGAAACCTTATGGCATAAGCCTATTGTTCTTCTGTTTTCAAAGAGACCATAGAGCATAAGCCTATTGTTCTTCTTTCTCCAAAGAGATCATAGAGCATAAATCTATTGATGTCCAGTTTTTTGTGCACTTAGGTTCTTGTATAAAAAAGAATAAGATAGGTACTTACAACATCATATTTGTCCCATGCTGAATAATCAGAACCTCTGATCTTCCTCTCAGGTTTCTTCTGAGGAACTACTGGCTTTTCTTTCTTTACCTTGCTCCGAACTGGGGGCAGGTCCTAACCTCGAAAGTAAACCAAAACAAATGTGAGAACCTTTGAAAGATGGCCAAAAATCAATGTTAAAACCACCCCAAATATACGGCGTAGACGTAGACTACACAATACTAGTACTCTTTCGTTGAATACAAGAAAACCAACATAACCTCACTAAAATACATGACAACTTTAACTTCGACATTTTTTACCAATTACACCTAACGTATACAGAAATACATGTTAATTATCAAATTTACACATAATACAATAACAATATAAAAACGTGAATAGGTCTAAACCTGTTCGAAAGCACCGTTCAAAGCAGCCTCTTTTCTTTTCATTTCTGCTTCCCAATTCTGCAAGTCTGTCATGTAAGTTTGCAAATCTTTAACATTATTTCGAGCTTGTTTCTGAATTTCAAAAACTTTATCCATGATTCTAATGGAAGGTACCAGAATAAATTCGTCTTTACGATTACCTGTTAGATCAATAATTATTTTCAGTTGCACATCAATGACAACGCAAACTTGTCAAACAAAATTTTGATTGTCATGGTAATTTCAACATGGCGGGCTTTTAGCATAGCGTAGTGCGTTCGGAAACATTTTAATGTTATTTTTTTATAGCAAAAATGTATGAAAATAGAAATGCTGCACTGTTGTTGTTTAGTTATGTAATTAATACTAAATTTAACTTACGTAGCATCAAGAAATAAAATAATTTCTTTTCCGAATTATTAATTCTGATATTGGCAATTTTTGATATAAATTTCAAACATAATGGCCATTTACTGCAAAAAAAAGATACAGAAAAAGAAAACTAATGGCATTTTGTCACATTTTGTAGTATTTTTTGAGGAAAAGTAGCCAGCATTTTCGTTATCTATGTCAACCATAAAGTTTTATGGAAAAATAAAAATAATAATTATAATTATAAGGAATTGATTGTGAAATTGAAAAATTAAAAGTTAATCTATTATCTATTACTTATAATAAATCTGTAGAGAGGTCAATTCTGTACATAATTTTTTGTCTGTCTGTCTGTCTGTCTGTATGTTCGTTATGGAAACAAAAACTACTCGACGGATTTTAACGAAATTTGGCACAATTATTCTTCATACTCTTGGGCAGGTTATAGTATACTTTTCATTACGCTACGATCAATAGGAGCAGAGCAGTGAAGGGAAATATTGGGAAAACGGGAGAAGTTACTCCATTTTTTAAGCTTCCGTCGCGTGTGCAGGCTTATAAGTTAAAGCTGCATAGAAATCATGTACGACGGAAATATTCTCCTTAAAATTATGTAAAAAACATTTCTCGACAGCATATGTCTATCTTTTATGGTTGACTCACAATAACACGTGAAACTCCCGATAGCTTAGCAATTCGGTGATTTCTGATTGTATTTGTCTACTCTAACGTTTACAATACTCATTCATAGACTTTACGCTGTAACCGAAACGCCAATGGTTGACATTAGCTTGACTCGATATTATAAATGAAAATATGTGAGTTTATGTGTATGTTTGTTACTCAGTCATATTAAAACGACTGAAGGGACCGGAATGAAATTCGGAACAGAGGTAGATTATGGTCTGAAGTGATACATAAGCATTTTACCGCTGGGATCGCGGGCGAAGCTGCTGGCAGAAGCTAGTTTATTATAAGAATGTACCAAACATTTTTTTTATTATTATCTATGTTCCTAACTAACTACTGGTAATTTAATATGCATTTCATCATCATCATCGTCAACAGCCGAGCATTTATGATATTTTTATTAAAAAATCACTAAAAGTAAATATTTTAAGTACCTCCCTATTATGAATGATTATAAAACTGTAATTAGATTTTTTTATTGATTAATATCTTTTTGTTCCTGTCCATCATAATCTAACAACAACAACAACAATCTACTGCACATAATAGAAACAATCGATACCTACTATACCAATCAGACCTTCACTCAAGGTTACACCATACTCACCAAGAAATAAATTAATACTATTTTCATTAATAAAATTTATTCGAAACTCATCACAGAGTAACGCAGTAAGCCAGCAAACCAATCAAGAACATTTTTATAACGAATGCGTGCTTCCAAAGACTTGATTTAGTTCATTGTGTCAAGGTTTTAAACGTAACTGAACTTCTGAGAAAACTTTACTAGATAGGTACCAGCTCTTACCTAAGGCCTTGACCCTTGTTAATTTCCCAGTTATAGGCTTACCAGTCTATGTCCCCCGTATTCCTAACTGTATGTAAGTATAGGTACTGTTTAAACATCGGCCCTTTCAATATAAAAAACCTACCTAACACATGATTATTGAAGGCTACTCAATTTAAAGTTGTACTTAAATATCGTGCCGTCTCTGTCGTTTTACAAAGAATTTGTAGTGACAGAACTATACGCGCGACTTTTAAAATATAATTCAATCAAGAAGACTGAGGTCTTTAAACGGTAAAGAGGCCTACCTCTTTAGGTGTCCTAACACTTACAGTGTAACCATCAGACAGTCGAATCTATCTATAATCATTTTATATGTAGGTTGGTTCACTGTTCTGTCTTCTATCATCATTAATAGCTAGAAGACCGCCGTCCACTGCTGGACAAAGGCTCGCCACCTGCCTCCACTGGCTCCCCACGACTCTAACGATTTCATCGGTATGTTATTTTTTTTCAAAAATCGTTGCCCCAAACTAGGATTTCCTCCTGTATTGCCTGTTATTGCAGGGCAAAGGCCTCAAAGGGTGGGTTTACAAACATACAATTTTACATGATACCTAGACCCGGGACAACAATTTGTGAATCACACAATGAGATATTTCGTACGGGAATCGAACCCGCGACACGTTGCATGGCAGTCAGTTGCCCAGCTGCCGCACCAACCGTGCATTCTACTACTACTATTAGCCTTTGTATGTACCTATATACCTTCAAACTTCAAGAAGGCCGGCAACGCGCCTATGACTCATCTGATGTTGTCCATAGGCGGCACTGATTGCTCATCATCAGGTGATCAGTCTGCTCTTTTGCCTCCTAACCCTTGAAAAAACTTACATATACCTACTTAAAGTTATGTTGATACGTGGTTAAGTACTTATAATAGCACTTATATCAAGTTTTCTTGTCATGAAAAGCTTGATTAATAGGTAAGGACTTATATAAAGGTATGATTTTTTGGAAGACAATATGTTTAGATTGTAGCTTGCAGCCTAAAGGCAATACCTACCTGACATAGGTACATACATGAATACAGGTACAATGTAGGTACATACGGAGTGTTATAGATATTATTATCCTGTTACCTACTGTTACCTGTTTCCCCTCGGCCCTCGGCACGACCAACGGAACAGCGACGTACCAGTATCAGTATACCAGGATGGAAATACTTAGATGATCAGTAAAAATAATTGAGAACAAAAGGTAGTGCGGAAGGATAGTGCTTTTCGTTAAAAATCTTTAACTTTGTAAAGATTAGACGGAACAAAACCGTAAATAATCGAAACAAAGTTGAAAGCAGGACCGTTTTAAACCAGGCTGGGGCCAATACAATAAATCCTTTTGGAATGCTTTTTGTTTTTTAACCCAGGCCCGGAACAACAATTTGTGGAGCACACAAAGGAGCAGGGAACAATCTCCTTGCAGGAACCGAACCCGCTATAAGTTGCGCGGCAGCCGGTTGCAGTACAACATATAGCGGGTCTGTGTCCTTCATAGATATTGTCGGTCCTTTGGGGCCCTTCTGAGCATGGGGGCCCTAGGCAAGGGATCCAAGTGTCCTTATGGTAAAGACGTTGAAGGTTTGAAGGATCTACCAAAAAATATTTGTAGATACTTATATCGAAGGGTTGTAGTGTTAAATATAATAGATTAGCTTCGGATATTGAAATAAAAATTTATATTATGACATTACACTACACATCCTAATAATCAATTGTGTTACTTACCTAGTTATTATTATCATTGTTGTATGAAAAAACTATTGCTTGTTAGCAGTATCATGCAAAAAGTAATTGAGCGCCATAAACCACGATACTTACGTAGGAAAGGTTCCGTAGACATTTTTTTTCTTCTCTTATAATCGTAGGTATCTTCTGAAACACTTCGTTGCGGTAACCAAGACAGTTATTCATGCCCCTGGGACGCGCTGGACTTCAGTGTTCCGGTGTTTTCATGATTGTATCTACTGTAGATCCTGGCTTACAGGAGCGGTTTTGGGAGGTTGTGGCGGGCTTGTCCTTAAAAAAAGGCATAAGTTGAGTTCACTGTCACAATCACAGCTTTCGAGTGAGGATCTACTCTAGCGGCCATTAAATAGTTTGCGTTATTTTACCGACCTCTTTGCCAATTCACAACAGAAAGCCAACAAGCTGATCACGCACGATTTTATAAAATGTTAATTGATTAGGTAATTAAAAACTAACATCGTTGGTTTGCAATACTTTACTGCTCTTAATATTGGTGAAACGTGATCGTTTGCGCATTATAGTGAAGTTAGACCGAGTTGTAGCTATACGCTTTCGATGTCGCAAGACTGTCGAGCAATGGTTCTCAGGTCGCACGATGGTGAATTAAAAAACAATGCCTCCGTGGTTGGCAATGCATTTGTGATGTCCCTGCTTTTACAGGGATGGTACGGGTACCTATACCTACCTATTTAGTTACTTACCGTCAGCCATACAAACCTTTTGTTAGTGCTACCGATGTCGCGGAGAACCTATAGGGTTACCGGGGCTCCGGCTCGAAGCGCAGGAGAAGGAACAGGGTAGTTTGTAGTCAGTAAGAGTCTGATACTCCCTTCCGCCTCACCCAGGCGGGAGCAGTCATTCGATGATTTTCCCCCCCTTAAAAAAATACCTACCTATTTAGTTACTTACCGTCAGTCAGACAAACCTTTTGCTAGTGCTACCGATAAATACTTACAGGTAATTTATTACAGACGGGTCACTTGATTTTAAGAAATCGGCGTCGCCTATGGGCACCTGGAACACCAAAGGCGTTACAAGTTCTTTACCGGCTTTTTTTGGGGATTAGGAATTTGAGGTTTGTTGAGATTGGGAAAGAGGGGAGTAATTGGGCCTCCGGTAACCTCACTCATACGACGAAACACTATTCAAGCGTTGTTTCACGTCGGTTTTCTGTGACGTCGTGGTATCGCTCCGGCCGAGCCGGCCCATTCGTGTCGATTCGTGCCGTAGGTATATATAACTACTTTCGCCATAATCTGTATCTACCTACAAGAGGTGGGATTTTTTTGGTTCAAAAATACTCGAGTACGAATACTCAAAAATATACTATCCGAAAAATCTATCTATCTATACCTACGCATCCTAACATACATACATACTTGTACACACTATAACTTTTTCTAGACGTATTAGGTAAAAGTTACTTCACACTGTAAGTTTGTAACAGTTCTAAAATATATTGT